CTTATCTCTCTCTCTCTCTCTCTCTTTCCCCTCCTCCTCCTACGCTCCAGCTACGTATTCAAAAAATCATTCATTCCATTTATAAATCTCTAACTAACTCTAGCTCGATTCTGGTGACTTTTTTTCTTTCTTTTTTTCCCATTCTGTTTGATACTCGTTCTGATTGACAAAGCTGATCCCGTTTGATTTGATTTGTTTAAGTTTTGAACTGAACTGAATACAACAAAGGCAGGTTCGCAAATAAATGTGTGTACAGTGTCCATATCTATCTGTCTACATATTTGTTAGCTATCTATTGAACTTATACGTTTGTTTACTATATATATATATATATATATATATATATATATATATATATATATATATATATATATATATATATGTATATATATATATACATATATATATATATATATATATATGTCTCTCTCTCTCTCTCTCTCGCTCTCTCTATCTATCTATCTATTCGGCTGTCTATCTATGTATCTATCTGTCTATCTTTCTATCTATCTATCTACCTATCTATCTATACATCTATCCATCTATTCATTTGCCTGTCTATCTGTCTCTCTCTCTCTCTATATATATATATATATATATATATATATATATATATATATATATATATATATATATATATATATATATATATATATATATATCCATCTGTCCTTCTATATATTTATCTGCATATATATCTATCTACCTATCTATCTACGCTTGTATGTATGTTTGTATGTATGCATGTATGTATGATTGCATGTGTGTACGAGTGAATCTATATTTCCCTGTATATCTAGCTATACATATATATATATACACGTAAATAATTCCTCTCTACCTGTTAAAATATTTTCCGAAAATATTTAGTCCACGCCTCCCTGCCAACGTCCTGCCAGTCAGCCAAATTAAACTGTTATCGATATTCTGTGTCAGGCAAATCCTCACATTGGATATCCTTCGGTGATGCAGCTGGGTTTCTGCCTGTTTATCTGTCTATCTGCCTGTCTGTCAGTCTCTCTGTCTATCTGTCTGTCTGTCTGCCTGTCTGTCTGTCTCTCTCTCTGTCTGTCTGCTTGTCTTTCTATCTGTCTATTTAAATATGTCTGTCATATTTATCTATCTGTTACTTTTTCTCTCTCTCTCTTCAATTTTCACTCTTCTTTCTTTCCCTCTCTTTCTATCTATCAAACTCTATATGTGTATTTGTTTGTATGCCTCTCTCTCTCTATCTCCCTCTCTCTCAGTTCACCCCCCCCCCCCACTCTCTCTTACTCTTCTCTATCTCTTCTCTATCACACGCTTTCCTTTCCCCCTCTTCCCCTCTCTCTCAATTCATCTTTTTTTTCTATGTTCATCTGTACTGAACACCTGCTCCGGCGATTAATCTTTGGCTGGGGAATTATTCATACCGAACTACACCTGCGTTGCACATATATTTACTTTTATTGCAACACCTGCAACATTCCTTTCTCTCTTATTTCATTTTATTTATCATCCTATATAGCTAATTATAATAAGCTATTTGTTTGCTATTTTTCTTTTTCTTTTTCTTTTTTTCCTTCTATCTCTGTTTGTTTTAAGTTTCCCCTCTTCTCTCTCTCTCTCTTTATCTCTCTCATTCTGCCTCTCTCTCTCTTTCTTTCTTTCTTTCTCTCTCTCTCTCTTCAATTTTCACTCTTCTTTCTTTCCCTCTCTTTCTATCTATCAAACTCTATATGTGTATTTGTTTGTATGCCTCTCTCTCTCTATCTCCCTCTCTCTCAGTTCACCCCCCCCCCCCACTCTCTCTTACTCTTCTCTATCTCTTCTCTATCACACACTTTCCTTTCCCCCTCTTCCCCTCTCTCTCAATTCATCTTTTTTTTCTATGTTCATCTGTACTGAACACCTGGTCCGGCGATTAATCTTTGGCTGGGGAATTATTTATACCGAACTACACCTGCGTTGCACATATATTTACTTTTATTGCAACACCTGCAACATTCTTTCCTCTCTTATTTCATTTCATCTATCATCCTATATAGCTAATTATAATAAGCTATTTGTTTGCTATTTTTCTTTTTCTTTTTCTTTTTTCTTTCTATCTCTGTTTGTTTTAAGTTTCCCCTCTTCTCTCTCTCTCTCTCTTTCTCTCTCTTCTTCTGCCTCTCTCTCTTTCTTTCTCTCTCTCCTAATACCTCTCTCACTCCTTCTGCCTCTCTCTTTCTTTCTTTCTCTCTTTCATTCTGCCTCTCTCTCTCTTTCTTTCTCTCTCTCCTGCCTCTCTTTCTTTCTTTCTTTCTCTCTCTCCTTCTGCCTCTCTCTCTCTCGTTCGTCCATTCCACCTCCTTCTCCTCCTTTCTGACTCCAACATCTTCCGCACACTATTTTCCCTTCTGCTTCGTCTCCTCAACTAATGGAATTGGCGATTATCCCTCTCGGTTGCCAGGTAGTGATAATGATGACACGAAGGTAAATGTAAAGGTTTTCTTTCGTCGTTTAACATCTCTTGAAAAAGGTCACTTTATTATTATTGCTGTTCTTGTTGCTGTTACTATTCCTGTCAATATTATCATTGTCATTACTATCAGTACTGTCGTTGCTATTATCATTATCATTATTTTTTATTTAATTATCATTATCAGTATCACCATTATTATTACCATTAACATCGGTACAGTCTAAGCATGTATATAATTCTCTCTCCCTCTATCTATCTATTTATCTATCTATATACGTGTGTGGGTATTAGCAAGAGAGGAAAAAATCTGATGATAAAAGTCAGTTTATATAAAATCCGATATTTTTTCCCTACTCACGTAATTCCCTCATATAAAAATAATCTTCAATATTTCTCCCAACTGCTCGTACAGTAAATTTCACCAGATTTTTGCTGGATATGAGGAATACGGACCCAGACACTGAACATTAGCTTACGGATTGTTAAAATCACATTTTCTTCCTTGCAGGCTCTCCAACATTAGCAGTCTGCGGAAACTACACGCCCCGTTTCACTTACTTTTCCTCCGCAGGCTTTAACTTGTTCGTAAATCTTTTCCCTTTTTTTAAGCGCGACCACTCTCGCTGATGGATTAATTCGTCACTATTTTCTAATTTTATCAATACCTTTTTTATATTATTTCATTCCTTGGCATACTGAAAGGGAGAAAGGGAAGAAGAAGATAAAAAAGATGAGGGAGATAAAACAAGAAAGAAAAGTTGAAGCGATAAGGTGACCTCTGACCTCCAGTTTGTTACGTGACTCATCAAGGTCAAGGTCTCTAGGAGGGAGATCGGGGAGGGGGGAGAAGGGGAGGGGGGAGGGGAAGAGGGGAAGAGGAGAAGACGGGAAAAAAAATTAAAACACGCAACAGCCGACTCTCCTTGTGCTTTGCCATGTCTACACTGTTATTTTCTTTTCCATGCTTTCAATTCCTAGTTTTTATTGTTTTTTTTTATAGTCATCTTTTCTATTGTTCATTTTAATTCCTCATTCTTAAAATTCATCTCCCTAAAGCCTCCCTTTTTAAGTTTCTGATCTTAATTCCATTTTTTAAAATTCCTCTTTCCTTTCCATCCACATTTATCTGTGTAGTTTATCTGTCTATTCCCCATCTTTATCACACTTTCTCTGCATCCATTATATGTATATATATATATATATATATATATATATATATATATATATATATATATATATATTTATATATATATATATATATATATATATATATATATATATATATATGTATATATATATATATATATATATATATATATATATATATATATATATATATATATATATATATATATATATATAAAGTTGCATTAGTTTATATTGCCAAGGATGACGTAGGGGAGTGGAGGGGGAGGGGGAATGGAGGGGGAGCTGGGGGGGGCGGAGGGAGAATGGGAAATGGATGGGGGAGGGGGAGTGGAAGGAAAGGGATAAGGGGGGAGAGGGGGGAGGGCGTTGGGAGATTTTTTTGTGGGAGAAAGGAAACTTATGCTTTTATGTAGCGGTTTCTGTAACTTTTGTAGCAGTTCTGAAATTTGTCAGATAGTAGGCTCGGCAGTTTTCTGTCTTTTTCTATTCTTTTTTAAGCTTTTGACATGGATACTAACTTTCTTCTCCCTTTTATTCTTGTCCGTATTCTCAATCATCGTTATCATTATGATCCTCTTTATCCATCTTCACATTATCATCATTATCGTCCATTTCTCGTTCTTACTTCCTTTCCTTTCCTTATCCTTCTCTTCTTCTTTTTTTCACTCTCTCCTTCTTTTACCTTTCCTTCTTCTCTCTATATTCCGTCTTTTCTTCTCTTCCTTCTCCTCTTCCATTTCTTCTCCTGCTGATCTTCCTCCTGCTCTTTTTTTCCTCTTTTATTATGCTAATTCATCGCGAAATTCTAAAGAAGATGATGTATTGCGATGACTTTTTGATTCGCGAATTTCTCAAACGGATGCTTCATCTCTGCCACGAAAGAATCCTTTTTAATCTTCATCTTCATCTTTATCTTATAATCTTCATCTTTGTCTAGAACCATTAAAGTATATATTTTTTATTTTCATTTTAATTTAGAATGTGTATATTTGTCGAGAATCATTAATTAATCGCCTAAAGATATTGTAATCTTTATCTAGAATCATCTAAGGATAAGCTAAGATTTTTACCTCTGAAATATTTTTTAGTAATCTTAGATTCTTCATATTTGTGTAGAACCATTAATTGATATTTTCATTTATGTTTAGAATAATTTCAGAATAACCTGGAATATTCGGCTTATTATGGAGTTATTATAAAAGCATCCAGGATATTATTCCCTGCCCACAATATTTTTTAAAAAATGATTTAAGATCTTCATCTTTCTCTAGAACCAACAGTCACCTTCAACGATTCCCGAGTCAAGATATAAAGTAGAAAAAAAGAATTACAAAACAGTATCAAATCCATATACAAACAAATACAGTAATTAATTTGCCGAAAATACAGCTACAACAACAACACATACCATCCAGCAGATCCCTAATCTTGTCCATGTAGATCTCGAAGTAGGAAACTTTGATATGGAATTCCAAGGCCTCCTCCATGTTGTAGATGTGGTTGAAGATGTCGTGAACAATCCTGGGTATGATGCCTGGAAGAAGAAAAAAAAGGGGGGGGGGGGTTAGTGGATGAGTTGTGGATAGATAGTGATGATAGATAGAGAGAAAGGGAAGGTAGATATACTGATTGGGGGAGACAGGGAGAGGAAGAGGGAGAGAGAGAGAGAGAGAGAGAGAGAGAGAGAGAGAGAGAGAGAGAGAGAGAGAGAGAGAGAGAGAGAGAGAAAGAGTGAAAAAGAGGAGCTTAGGCGGTGGTAAGTTCAGGAAGGTGGAAAGGAGAGAAATGACGATAATAATACAGATAGATACACCTACAGATAGATATAGTGATAGAGGGAGAAAGAGAAGTTCCTGTTGACAACCGTAAGAAAAAATGAATAAAAGACACACAAAGTAGTACATGATAAAGAGAAAGAAAATTAGTTGCAAGAAAGAGATGTATTTTTTTTATGACTCACACATGAACACAGGCAAAGAAAATGCACAAAGCATTAAACATTCGTTTTATACAACTGAAAAAATATCTGATAGCTTTTAGCACCCGAATTGTTCACTTATGCAGCAAATTGCAACATAAAAAACAAAAACAAAACAGAAACGCTTTTAGAAAAAAAAAATCGACAAAATAAATATAAACAGATCTAAAATAAGGAAAAGGACGTGTTATCACGACGAATATTTTCAACAACATAAGACTTATAGGCTTACGGAGGCTAAAAAGGTCATATTTCAGAAAGGGCTTAGGTTTAGAGAGTTAATGGGACAGGAGTGAAGGGAGGAGAGAAAGGAAAGAAGAAAAATGAGAGAGAGAGAGAGAGAGAGAGAGAGAGAGAGAGAGAGAGAGAGAGAGAGAGAGAGAGAGAGAGAGAGACCGAAACATAGAAAGAAATATATATATATATATATATATATATATATATATATATATATAGAGAGAGAGAGAGAGAGAGAGAGAGAGAGAGAGAGAGAGAGAGAGAGAGAGAGAGAGAGAGAACGAAATTCTTTCCTAGCAATGCAAAGAGTTAAAAAGTTAGAGATAGATAGATAGATAGATAGATAGAGAGAGAGAGAGAGAGAGTTAGAGAGAGAGAGAGAGAGAGAGAGAGAGAGAGAGAGAGAGAGAGAGAGAGAGAGAGAGAGAGAGAGAGAGAGAGAGAGAGAGAGAGAGAGAGAGAGAGTTAGAGAAAGAGAGAGAGAGAGAGAGAGAGAGTTAGAGAGTTAGAGAGAGAGAGAGAGAGTGAGGAAGACAGACAGACAGAGAAACGGAGAGAAAGTTAAACAGACAGACAAAGAGAAAGATAAATAGATAAATAGACAGAGATAGAGAAATTATCAAAACGAACCAGACCCTGCGTCAGACGAACGTGAGGTCATTATCTAGCATCAAGACGGCGCTCACCTTCGCCTGCGCCTCAAGGAGTTCAGGGAAGCCTTCGGGAGATTGATGGAGAGGAAGAGGGAGGGAGACGGGGAGGTAGGGGAGGGAGCGAGGGAGGAGGGATGGGGAAGTAGGGGGAGAGAGCAAGGGGGGAGGGAGACGGGGAGGTAGGGGAGGGAGCGAGGGAGGAGGGATGGGGAGGTAGGGGGAGAGAGCAAGGGGGGAGGGAGACGGGGAGGTAGGGGAGGGAGCGAGGGAGGGGGATGGGGAGGTAGGGGGAGAGAGCAAGGGGAGAGGGAGACGGGGAGGTAGGGGAGGGAGCGAGGGGGGGGATGGGGAGGTAGGGGGAGAGAGCAAGGGGGGAGGGAGACGGGGAGGTAGGGGAGAGCGAGGGGGGGGATGGGGAGGTAGGGGAGAGAGAGCAAGGAGAGAGAGAGAGAGAAGAAAAGAGAGTGTGTGTGTGTGGGGGGGGGGGAAGAAGAAGGAGAGGGGGAAGGAGATGGAGAGCTATAGAAAAAAAGAAAAAAAGAGAAGACTAAGGAGAGAGAGGGAGAAGAATAGGAAGAAAGAAAGAGGAAAATAGAAATTAGCGGGAGGGGAATGGAATCACAGAGACAAAAAGGCGGAAAAGAACCAGAAGAAGAGGGCTAGAGGAGAAGAAGAGAAAGGGAAGGAGTAAGAGAATAAAATTGCGTATGAAAGGGGGGGGGGAAGAAGGAAAAGAACGGAGGAAATAAGTAAAAGTTTGAAAAGGAAGAACTAAAAAGGAAACAAAATTAGACAGGATGTGTTGGCCGGACTGTTATAATAGGGAGGAGGAAGAGAAGGAGAGATAATGATAATAATAATAATAATAATAAGAGGAAGAAGAGAGAAAGAGAGAGAGAAAGAGAGAGAGAGAGAGAGAGAGAGAGAGAGAGATAAAGAGAAAGAGAGAGAGAGAGAGAGAGAGAGAGAGAGAGAGAGAGAGAGAGAGAGAGAGAGAGAGAGAGAGAGAGAGAGAGAGAGTATTTACCTTTTTACTTTCACTTTTAAGAGTTAAAAATATTACATAATATGAGAATTTAACTTTATTAATCGATTAACTTTATTACTTCCAACAAGAGCTAAAAAAGGTAAAAAAAAAAAAAAAAAAATACTTTGCTAATTAGTGATTTATTAATATTTTTTTCCGAAATTGAATAATCAGTTGATGGAAAAATTGATTAGTAGATTTGTAAAGGAATAGATAATAGCTAAAAAATAGATAAAACAATCAAACAAATGAATAAATAAAGAAACAAGAAATAAAATAGATAGAGAGATAAACAGACAGACTTACAGAAAGACAGACAACTAGATATCCAAACAAATAACACAAAAAGCAAATACACCAATAAACAAATAAACAAACAAGACCAACCAGAAGAAAATAAACGGACAAACAAACAAAAAAGACCAAGGAAAACAAAACAATCGGACAAACAAACAAAGAAGAACAACCAAATTAAACAAAACCAACCAACCAAACAAACAAACAAAAATACCTAGATAAAACCAAACCAAACAGATAAACAAAAAACAAGGCCAACCAGACCAAACAAAACCAACCAAACAGGAACACCCAGACCAAATCAAACAGATAAACAGACTAAACCAATTCAAACAACCAGACCAAACAAAAAACAAAAAAAACAAGACCAACCAGACCAAACAAACAAACAAAAAACAAGACCAACCAGACCAAACAAAACCAAAACAGGCAAACAAGAACAGCCAGACAAAAAAAACAAAAAAAAAACAAGACCAACCTGGCCAAACCAAACCAACAAGACCAACCAAACCAAAACAGACAAAAAGACCAACCAGACCAAACCAAACAAAAAAACAAGACCAACCTGACCAAACAAAACAAAACAAACCAACAAGACCAACCAAACCAAACCAAACCAAACAAACAAGACCAACCAGACCAAACCAAACCAGACAAACAAGACCAACCAGACCAAACAAACAAACAAAAAACAACACCAACCAGACCAAACCAAACCAAACAAAAAACAAAACCAACCAGACCAAACCAAACAAACAAACAAGACCAACCTGACCAAAACAAACCAACAAGACCAACCAAACCTAACCAAACCAAACCAAACCAACAAGTGCAAAAATTCCCCTCACCTTGCCACGTTGGATCGCCGAGCTTCCCCTCCATCGTGTGAGTCTTTCCCGAGGAAGTCTGACCGTAGGCGAAGATTGTTCCGTTGTAGCCGTTGAGAACATCTGTTAACGGGAGAGAGAGAGAGCTTCTGTTAAACGGGTGTGGAAGAACGCGTGTGGTAAATGGTATGAATGACGATTATGTGGAAAAGGAGGAGGAGGTGGAGATGATGATGGTGATGGAATAGGTTGATGGATGGATGTAGGTATGTGGTACTTGTGAGGAAAAATGCGTGGGAGTTAGGTATGTCTTTTTGTACACACGCAAACATACGCGAATGTATATCGATATGTATATAAATAGATACACATGCATGCATATACATATGCACACATACATATACATATACACAATGTGTACATTTAAGCACACATACACAAAAATACACGAACAGACACACACTTACACGCATACACACAAACACACCAACACGCACATACACAAACACACTTACACACACAAACACACACATCCATCGCCCTTCTCACCCCAAAAATTGTCAAGTACACGCCTGCATTGACACAGCTATTACACCCACTTATAAACTTTACACTTAAGAGACTCGTTGATTGGTGCAGATAAACACGTGGTGCCAATTCACTTAGGCACACTTGAGTTTCAAGAATATTCGCGCTGACTCTGCAGTTCCTTTTTTACTCCTACGTAAAGTACATAACGAAGGGAATACAATAGCGATTATTTTTCTTTCATTTCTGTTTTCTTTATTTTCCTTTATCTTTTTTCTTTCTTTCTTTCTTTTCTTTTTTCATTTCTTTCTTCTTTATCTTTTTAATTTCTTTCCTCTTTTTCTCGTTTTTGGTCATAGCTTCTTTTCTTATTCTTCTTTTGTTTTCTTTTCTCTTTTTTCTTGGGTTAGAAAAAAATGGGTTATCTCCGTGATCTTTGCTTGCGTGTGTTAATACGAGGAGAAGACTTCACTTTATAATTATTACTATTATTGTTCTTATTCTTATTACTATGATTATTCTTCTATTCTTGTTCATATTCTTATTATCATGGCTGTGCTTATTATCATTGGTTCTATTATTATCATTATTGTTCCTTTTCTTATCATTATGATTATTCTTCTATTCTTGTTCACATTCTTATAATTCTGATTATTCCTTGTATTCTTGTTCCTATTCTTATAATTATGATTATTCTTCTATTCTTGGTCCTATTCTTAATACCATGATTATGCTTCTAATATTGTTGCTGGCTTTTTTTTATCATCAACATTATCATTATTAACATTATTATTATTAGCAGCAGCATTACTACATATTATCATTATCATTATCTTTATCATCAATATATTATCTAATATCATAATGAGTATAACTATCATATTTTGTTTAATCCCTATCATTACATCTATCCTTGTTATCACCATCCTCATCATCATTACCTCATCACCATCACAATCACCATCAATTTTTTTTACTATCATCATCACTGCCACCACCATCATCATCACCATTTTTTTACTACCATCATCATCACCATCATCTTTTTTTACACGATATTTTTTCCAACTTTACGCGTCTCATTTTCTCGAAATATTGAAGCTGAAATGGTCAATTTATCAGCAATATGAGGCATAATTTGTGAAACAGACGCATCGACATATTTTTTTTCGTTTGATCTCAATTTGAAATGTGTGAAATGGATAAAATCTGTCGCTGGTGTATTCAGTCATGTGCGTGAGTGTGTGTGTGTGTGTGTGTGTGTGTGTGTGTGTGTGTGTGTGTGTGTGTGTGTGTGTGCGTGTGTGTGTACGCGTGTGTGTACGTGCGTGCATGTGTGTGTGTGAGTGTGTGTGTGTGTGTGTGTGTGTGTGTGTGTGTGTGTGTGTGTGTGTGTGTGTGTGTGTGTGTTTGTGCGTGTGTGTGCGCGTGTGTGTACGTGCGTGCATGTGTGTGTGTGAGTGTGTGTGTGTGTGTGAGAGAAGGGAAGAAAGAGAAAGAGGGAGTGAAAGAGGAGCGAGAAATGAGAGAAGCAAAACGGCGCCCATCTTGAAGCAACATAAAATCGCTCAATAACTGCGTGTTGGAAACTGACACGAGGACGACGGTCATAAGGTCGACCAACGCTTCACTTTCCCACAGTGAAATCGACTCTAGAGGCAGACTGCATGACGACATCTGGTATTTGCAGAATTTTGTGCAAACACAGAGACTTCAGAGATGATCTTTCTTTCTTTCTATTTTCTGTTTATTGTTCATCTGTAAGAATCATTTATGGATAACGTGACCATTAAAAGGAATAGTCATTATTTTTTTCCCTTCACTGTCATCATCATCTTCCTACTCCTACTCGTTCCGTCAGATTCTTTTCTTCTCTCTCCTCTTTTCTGATATTCTTTTCTTATTTTTCTCTTCTTCCCTCTCCTTCTTTTCCTTATCCCACTCCCCCTCCTCATTCTTTTATTTCTCCTCCTACTTTCCTTATTTTTCTTCTCTTATTTCTACCACAGACTTCGTCCCTCCCTCCCTCTCCTAAAATTTACTTATTTTTCTCTTCTTCCTCTTCCTCCCCCCTCCCCCTCCTCCTCTTCCTCCTTCCCCTCCTCTTCCTCCTCCTCCTCTTCCTTCTCCTTTTTCCTCCACCTCCTCTTCCTCTTACTTCTCCTTTTTCCTCCACCTCCTCTTCCTCTTCCTTCTCCTTTTTCCTCCACCTCCTCTTTCTCCTCTTCGTCCCCCCTCCTCCTCCTCCTCCTCTTCCTTCCCCTTTTTTCCTCCACCTCCTCTTTCTCCTCTTCGTCCCCCCTCCTCCTCCTCCTCCTCTTCCTTCCCCTTTTTCCTCCACCTCCTCTTTCTCCTCTTCGTCCCCCCTCCTCCTCCTCCTCCTCTTCCTTCCCCTTTTTCCTCCACCTCCTCTTTCTCCTCTTCGTCCCCCCTCCTCCTCCTCCTCCTCTTCCTTCCCCTTTTCCCTCCACCTCCTCTTTCTCCTCTTCGTCCCCCCTCCTCCTCCTCCTCCTCTTCCTTCCCCTTTTTCCTCCCTCCCCTCTCCCAATATTCCTAACACACAATCGATCCATAACTTGAAACAAGCGGATGAGATAAGTTTAAGATAAGTTTCTAAGGCAATCTAACTTGCTTTCTCATCCGAAGGAGCTGGCGTCACCTGATAAAACTTGCCCTTTGTTCTCAAGACGCTGTTGAACCTGCAAATGTTCGTGTCTTGAGGGAATCTTGAAATGTTACAGGAGAAAAAGGCAGAAGATTCTTATTAGGGAAGCTTCAGGGTAACGGGGAGACGTCTATGTATGTTTTGGGTCATCCCTTGAGGTCAAATGAGCTACTCTGTTTATTTTTCTCTTCCTTTAACTTTCTCTCCGTATCTCTGTCTGTCTGTCTGTCTCTCTCTCTTCCCTTACACACTTCTAAACCGCCCCTGTCCCTCTCCCCTCTATCTTTCTTCCTCTTCCCTCTTTTACCTTTTTTATTTCCTCCCCTTTCCCTCTCTCCTCTACCATTCTTCCTCTTGCCTCTCCTTCCCTATTATTTCCTCCCTTTCCCTTCTCCTTCCCTTTTTATTTCCTCCCCTTTCCCTCTCCGCTTCACCATGCTTCCTCTTGCCTCTCCTTCCCCTTCATTTTTTTTTCATTTCCTCCCCAGACTCCAAACGTACGAGTATTTCCGGAGAGAAAACGGAGCAGTTCCCGTTTACGATGTGCTGCTGCCCCCCCCCCTTTCCTCCCCCTCCTCCTCCCCACCTTAACCTCACTCCACGTTCCCTCGTGTACTCAGAGAGAGAGAGAGAGAGAGAGAGAGAGAGAGAGAGAGAGAGAGAGAGAGAGAGAGAGAGAGAGAGAGAGAGAGAGAG